AGGAGACCAAGTCCTTCAAGAAACACAGCCGCCCCCAGAAGGGCAAGTTGCACCTGGAAAGGTCCAAAGCGAAGAAAGCGAAGATGGTGCGAGCGGCGGCGGTGGCGGCGGCGGCTGCGGCGGACTCTCAGTCGGAATCGGAGCCGGAGCTGGATGCGGATTGCCAGGAGAGTGAGGGCTCAGGGGCTGAGCTCTCAGCTTGTTACGGCAGGGACACCAGGCTGCCTTCCCCCGACCCGAAGCGGGCAGCTCAGCTGACGGCGGCCGTCTCGCTGTCCAGCCGCTCGGCCCCGGGGAGACCCCCGGAGGAGTCCGACCACGAGCTCCTACTCTTCGACTTGAGTTTGAATGTTGCGGCGGGCGCCGAGCTGTTGGAGGTGAGTGCGACCGGAGCTGGAGGCGGCGGCTTGGCGCTGGACAAGGACATGGAACCGCTGACCAGCGGCTGCAGCCCCGTCTCTCACTTCGAGTTCCCCGATTACGGGACCCCGGAGGTGCGGAAAATGATCTCAGGAGACTGGCTGGAGATTGAGTCCAACATTTCATATTAAGAAGGGCAGAAGGCACGGCGTCTCCCAGCGCTGAGGGATACTGGAGATTTACAAAGGACCGACTCACTCGAATATATTGGATGCAAATCTTAGCTTGAGGGGGCTCCCTCCCCCTTTTTCTAATCAACCCTTCCTCCGGCAAGTGGAGTCCCATCTTTTCAGGGTGCTTTAGAGAAAGTGGCTGTCCGCCGAATGATAAAGAGCACAATTAGTTATGGTAGTAAAGAATTTCTTAATTTTAGAGATTGACTAAAAAAAGGGAGACGCATATGATTGAATGTGATGGGGAAGGGGATGGGAGGTAAAATCCCAATTTGGATTCTGAAAGGGGTAGGGATAAATAAATCCGTCTAATGCGGGGTGGGGAGGGAGGGAGTGGAGGGAAACAGAAATAAAAAGTTCTTAAAGGGAAAGAAGTGAAGATGACCCAGAAATGTTTGTTCCACGCTGAACTGGAAAAAATATGTGTAGGGTAACAAGGTTACAGCAGTAGTATCATGTGGTTTGTGAAGTGATTATGGAAAAGAGCGATCATCCTTTCATTGTGGTTCTAGTTTTACGAGTTAGTGTCATGTTGGTGATTTTTAGCCCGTTTCCGCTACAATTGTAGGTTCATTTCGGAGCGCCCTCAATCCAGATCAGATGTGAATTTACAGTGGGGAAGGGGGGAGTTGAGGGGGTTTATAGTATTGGCCTTGCCGTTAGCCTGTTTTAGAAAGAAACTAATAAAGTATTGATTATAAACTGATTTTTTTTCTTATGTATTGAGGCGAGCTGGTTACAAAATGAAAAATGTGCAGGATTTGCTACCTTCACTGATACAAGCAGAAAGGGTTCGTTTTAAAATGTGTCTAAACGGTTTGCGGATTTACAAGGAGGAGGCTGGGTTAGTAAGGAGATTACAATATGGATACAATTAATGTGGAACTTTTAGTGAAAACGTAGGTGAAGTTGAGGAAGAAATAGAGTTTTATTGTGCCAATTTATTACAGTGTATCTATTATGACAGGGACGATTCTGAAGAAATTAATATGTTGTGGTGTTTCAGTACCTCAGTAAATCTTAGTGGTATTCTTTGGTAGAGCAGATTGTGATTGTCAGGGAGCTGAACGGTACACAACATAGCTTTCTGTATTCGTTTAAAGACGAACATTAGGGATCATATGTACTGTAGTCGGCAGCTCGTCTCAATGGGCTTTAGATCATTTGTACAAAACTACTGTGAATTTGAAACCCTATGATTAGTCTCAGCTTTTTACCGCTCAGGACTATAGAATTCAGAGAATAAGGGGTGCTACCTTCGGGGTTTCTCTGAGATTTTTAAGGTTCGGTGTGCTTTCGAGGCATCGCTGCCGAACGCTATAGCATTCCCTCAGGATCTTGTCGCGTCTGACTCCTCTGTCGGCCGTCAGGCATTTGTCTTGGATTCTAAATTAAAGGTTTACAGAGAGGTCTTACGAAAGGAAGTCTAATTTCCTACATTATGCACAGTCTAAAATCCAGTACAGTTTTTGTGGTACTGAAAATGCTCATTACCCAACATACTGCACACGTTAAATCATTTCTTTGTAAGCATTGTGCTGAAGTTTTCTTTCTGTACAACCGTCGATCAGAAAGGGAGGGGCAATTTTTCTTTCGTATAAAATCGATACAGCACAATCGAATGAACCATGAAAGCAGCAAAAAATATTCCCTTTTCAGTGGCCTGTGTGAGGTCGATTTTAATATCAAACTGAAAAAAAAACGTACACGTGTATTTGCTAGCTTGCCATGAGAATCAATTAGAGCCCTGTACATCAATTCAGAATTAAAAAAAACAAATGATTCTTAATCTTGAATTAGTTGTAAACTGCTTCAAATTGACGTGAAATACTGAAATAAAAAGCTTTGAATTGTTTTCTAAGCATTTTAAGACTTGGTCCATTATAAAAGGAATATTGTTTCTGCTGTTTGCCAGCTTAGCAATGCTGCAACATGGATCTGTTAACCTTGGTGCCATTTCATTCATTTGTTGTGCATGCTCAGTACGCATTGTATCATAGGGTTTTCTTCCGACAAGGAAATGAATGGCAGTGGGAAGCTGAGTGCCATGATACTGTAAATTGGACCTTTTGCCACAGTCTGGTACAATGTCAGCCTCCATGCAAACGACATAAAAAAACAGTACCAGCAGCCACTAAATCCGGAGTCAAATGCCCCAATGGAAGATCATTTTCCATTCTTAAAGAAAAAAGAATCTGTAGTAGTAGATCCGAAAAATATCCTGTCTTGTGTAAAAAAAATCAACAGATTGTCATTTGGTTAACTGTTTTAGCAAACTGACCTTTTTTGACAACTGAAAAATTCAATTGTTCCAATGCAACATTTGCAAGTTTGTCTTTGTATTTTGAAGGTTACTGCTCATAGGGCAATATGATAAAAAGCACCAAGCCTCAAGGAAGCAATATCAACATTGAAGTGTAGTACCATTGCAATAATTCCCGACTTTTCACCCATTATGAAATTAAATTCTTTCTTCAAATTATAACAAATAATTAACTACTCAAAGGGTGAAAAGTCGAGAATTATTGCAACATTATTCTGATTCTATGTAAAATGGCCATCCATCCAGTGGTCTCCATGTAGCAGTGTCACATTGTACCAGCATGTGTGAGTCAAAAGGTTGCATTGAACTGCATTTTATCTTAATCGGTTAGAACTCTATCCAAAGACCAGCGCATCATTCCTCAAACAACTGGCCTAAAATGGGACCATGCTCATTAATTTCAGGAAAAAAAAGCCTTTATATTGTGAATTTTCTGATGTGATTTTATTTTTAATCCAAAAATTTCTGATACCAGCATTTTTTAGTTAATTAGTTGGTTCTGTGTGGATTTTAATTTATTTTTGCAGGGTGTGCTTGTTTTAACTGCATGCATGTGTATAAGTATGTATAAAAATATGGTCACACATGTACATGTGTACCAGTGTATGTAGGTATATTTATACATTATAGATTGACTGTTTAGACTTATTTTAAAAAAAAAAGAAATTTGTGATAGATTAAAACTAGTACCTTTTTAACTAGCCTACATGTGCTCCATGGCCAAAATTATTCAAAGGTTCAGGGGAACTATATAGCCCAGAGGATCAAAAGGTCAGTCTTGGGGCTCCCTACCGCAAAAGATATAGGCTGCTATCCCAAGTAGGGAAAATAATAAGGTTGCCTCTCAATTCTGATAGAAGAGTTGGCTAAATTAAGTGGTGCTAGGTTTAGGCAAAGCCTCTGTGTAAGAAAGAGCCTGTTTTAGACTGTTGCAACAAATGGCATTATTTCAAAACTTCCTCCCTCTTTTTCTCCCACAAGTCGTGGAATTTATTTCTAATACCTAAAACCTTTTGCATTAGGTAAATGCATTGTCGATGCGGCAGAAGTCTTCCACGATGACTTTGTTTGTTGTGATTGCTACTTCAAAAGTCTGTCTGTTCAGATTCTGCACTCAGACATTCTCCAAGTATAACATTTCTGCAACATGTCAGTTTGTGTGAAAGTTACACCAGCTTTTAGTTGTTAGAATGTTCAGTGGAGAAATAAAAATATTACCTATGTAATAGATACTACAAACCTTGGGCACGTGACTTGCACAAATGCAATGACCTTGCCTATATTAAACTTTCCTTTTTACATTTGATGAATAAAATTAATTCAGTGTCATTGTACACAATTTAGATACTTAGTTGATTTTGGAAGATTTTGTATTAGCTGCCAGAGCATCTCTGTAAGAATTAAAACACAGAAAAGGGGTATATTTTAAAATAGATCCCAAATGGCTTCACAATTGACAGACACAGAACTTTGTTTCACAAATCAAAAAAGATTTAGAATATGTGATGAATCCTAATATTTTTATTCTGAAGGATAGGTGGTAATTTTAACTTTCGGTAATTGTTATAAAAGAGGGGATATGGGATTGTTGCTGTTACGAACAACTCCTGATTCTAGCTGAAACTAACTGATCAGTGGCTAACTGATATCATCTCATTTACACTATTGCTAAAAGATTGGCCCCCACCCCACTTACTTTCAAAGAACTACCAAACCTAAATGGCCTCTTTCTGTGCTGAAAATTCAAGATTTATAAACACCAGATGTGATCCAGATTTGCCTCAAATTACCCCTGAATAGAAGGTAGGTTTATGAACAGTCTCTTAGCTTAGCAAATGGGAATATTGTATCCCATTTAAAATAACTTCTAATTATAAAGCTCATGTGTAGACCAGTTGAAATAGATGCTATTGAAAGAAGTGAACTGTACAAAAACGTGGTAAAATATAAGTGAAATGCCACGAAAAATACTAGAAATGCTGTCATGATTAACATATATCTTTGGAAAATAATAGAAGTTCAAGTTTTAGTTGTGGCTTATTCTTTGGTATGATTGCTCCATGTGGGTTGTATTGCAAAATATTTACATTTGTTACACTTAGAAACTTTTAAAATGAGACTGTGTGTGATATCTGCGATGGCAGACATTGCCAATGATCCCCATGGACTCTTGAATGCTATGGTGCAACTATGTTGGCTTCTTTTTCTGACACAGTGACATAATTGTAGACAGAGGCATTCTGTTGCTAGCTCTTCCTGTACTAGAGACATTAGGCTGAAACTGTGAAGAATATGTTTTTGACAAGATGTTCTTGCCCATAACAGGCACTGAGAACACAATGATTCTTTACATGTGTAGGCACATCACACAAAATAAAAACCTCATTTTCTGTTTAGTAGCTGAAGGATGTTTTAATGCTGCAGTACTGGTTCTATCACCACTGATGGCCAGTTTTTGGTCTTAAGGAAGCCTATGTCACCCCAAATGCCTAAAATTGTAAGGAATGTGCATGGATTTAGTGGGTTTTGCAAAAGAAAGTCACCAAAAGGCTTTATTATTCTGTATTTATTAAAAACCTGAGTGCCAGTACAATGCCATTTTTTTTCTGTCTGCCATCACAGGGTTCAAATTTAGCTGCCTGTTTTAACTAGCGCAAATTTATGCCAAACTGTATTGTGTGAGCAAATGTAAACTAAATTCAATGAAACTGTCAATCAGTCACCATGGAGACTGGACCAAATAGGTAATATCACTGATATTACCGAAGGTAAGGGTCTTGAATCCAAAAATACCATTTCAATATCAGTAGTCAGGTATGATCTTCCTATTGACGAATACTGGTGTGTCAAAGCTTATTGTTGCTCATACCGCATTGCGTTTGGCAATAATACAGACAGAATGAGTTTATTCATTC